CGGCCCCCCTTCCTCCCGCCTTTAGGCCAGCCGCGGACGGCGCTTGCGGCCCGGGGCGAGCTGATGCGGCACGGTTAGGAGGCTTTCCTTAACGTCTCATCCCTCTTGCTGCGGCGTAGGGCCTGCTAACCCACGCCCAGCAGCCTTTTAAACCCTTCAAAACTGCACCCCCCCCCGTGTATATATATATATTTAATGCTAAACAATCCTGTTCTTCTCTCGCAAGCTGTATTTTCGGGGCCTTCCGTGTATCGTCAGTTTTCTCCCCCTTGCCTCTCTTCCGTTGCTGTGCTTCTTTCTTAAGGTGGGATGCAAAAGAAGTCAGTTGTGTTAAGTCTTCTTTTTCTTCTCTTTGTCGCAAGTACTTGCTCCTCCTTAAATCTCAAGAGTGACAGGTCAGGGCCGGTTGCTTGGGCTGGAGTTAGAGGTTAAGCGCAGGGTGTACGCGGGTGCGTCCCGTGAGTGGCCCGTGCCCTGCACCCGTTGAGCGGAGGGGCGCCGTCCTGAGGCTGCTCACCCGGGAGGCGCCGCCGGCTGCGGCCCGGGCCGCCGTTCTTAGAGCCCGCCATGAGGCGAGCGGCTGATAAAGGGCCTGGCTCGTTCTCCACGTCTCCTTTTTGAATTTTAGAAGTTCTCCGCAGTGGACGGAAGAAATCTCCCCGCTACCCCTTGGAAACCAATTCTGTGTGGGTGTGATTGGCATAAAACAGAAGAGCTGCTGCTGGTTATGGTCCGCTGTGGCCACCTGGAACGGCTCCTCGGCTCTCAGCAGCAGCTCTGTCGTCAGCAACACAACCGAGAGGCTCCGCGTCCTGGCTTAATTCTGTCACGCGTGGACAGAACTGAAGAGAGACAAAACGCTGTATCAGTGTAGGGTCAGGGTTGGTTTTTTTTTTTTTTGGCTCCCGGAAATGTTTATTTTCTGAATAAGTGTGGTAGAAAACGTACCTGAACTCCAAGGGCAGGCTTTGATTTCTGGATGGGCTTTTAAAACGTGCTAGGAGCAGGATGGAAGCTCTCACTTAAGTTAAAAAGAGACCAAAGCCAAGTCTGCGCCTTTCTGAAAATCTCACTTTGTGTGACCCGCTGTGCCCCTCCTGTTGACTGCATAATAATGCCATAATTATTTTTAAGGAATCATGTTGTGAAGATCCATCTCTAAATACTTGGGAGAGTGGATGGATGCTTTGGTAACAGAAGATTGTATGAACACCTCCAAATAGCAAAGTGAAGTGTATTTTTTTGTGAGTTAACCAGAAGGGACGCTGTTTCGTGGACAACCTACTGAAATAAAATGTCAGCTTTGTGGCTCTGGTTCCAGTGTAACTTTCAGTTTTTACTCTCCTTTTTTTTGCTATTAAGGTAAACCTTTCTTGCTTTACAAGTGTGTGGAACTTCTATCTGTGCACACATACATGTGTTCATGACTTAACGGTCGTGCACTGCTACTGTAAACCCATGCAACTTATTTTCGTAGCTTAAGGCACCAGAGGAATTTTTAAAAAAACAGCGCTATATTGAAGGAAAAGTCCTCTTGACCATACTAAGTAGCAATGTGTCCTGAAAGCAGTAATGAGCTTTGTCTTCTGTTTAAGCGAGACCTAATTTATGGATAGATTTTTTTTGTTTTTCCTCACCACTGCTTGCTTACAAGGTGCTTGGGTTTTTCTCTCAAGCAACAAATACCCCTGTCAGAGATGCCTCTTGGGCCTGGTCCATCTGCAAGTTCCCGAGTGTGGCTCTTCCTCTGCAGTTCAGTATAACCAAAAGACGGGAGATCTGCCAGTTCCTGTGTATTGAGCCAGCCACTACGGCTGTTTGAGTTGTTCTGTTCATTAGAGAATACTGCTGTATCACCCTAAATTCATGGAGCTGAATGCTTGTGTGTGTGTTTGGTTTTTGTAGAAAAATCTGTTTTCCTTTGTTTGGCAGATATCTGGCTTATAAATTCACGAAGGTGACCACTGTTCTCCTCACCTGTAATTGTGCACCAGCTGCTTATTATGTAATCTTTAAATTTCTTTTCTGTGGACTTCTGCTGCATGCTCTGCAGTTGGCTGGAGAAGTAGACTTGCTGATATATAGCCTCCGGTGACCTCTGTTTTTGTTTACTTTCCTAGCTGCTAACGCCGCCAGGATTTGGTGATGGAGGCTTTGCTGGAAGGAATGCAAAGACATGGGCAGGGAAGGTATGTATGCAACAGAATACACCCGTCTGTCAGACTAACTCCCCTTTTATTTAGAACCAAATGCTGTCTTACCAGTCAGGCAAATCTTCCATTTTTCAAATAAGGTCTTTGCTCTGTGTCTCCTTGTGCCTGCTGTGCACAGTGGCCTTCAACCAAAACAAGCAAAGTCACTTGGTGAGCTGGCTTCCCAGTAATCACTGCTCTCTGATATCGTGGTCTTGTTACTATTTCTGTGTTTCATCTTCCCTAAAAACTTTACCTCCTTTTGTTTTTAAAACCCTTCTTACCATCTAACACCAGGAGCAGTAGTAATTAAAAGTGAATAAATATCTTTTTAAGAGCCCTATTAGGTTAATGAGACCTGCCTTTGCTACCTGTTTTTATTGGAAACGTTTGATTGTTTCTTGAGCGTGCTGGCGCTGCAGAGCACCGTTCATCTCTGAAGAATCCTTTATGCTCTGTCTTGGGTGAAAGTATCTGGATCCCAGAGAGACTGTAGTGCCAGTAATGGGGGTGGGGGGGGGCATCATTTTATTTGTTAAACAAGCGTGAAGCAAAAGTTACTGATGCTGTTTTCATAGTTGTCTTTGAGAGTTTGACCCAAGTTTACTGATACCATATATTTGTTCTACAAATAACTGGTTGCAGAAATCAAGCTTAGACTGAGCTTTATATTAGCAGTTGCTGAGAAGGAAATGTTCTTGCTCTGCATAATAGCTGCTAATTTTTTGTTAACTTGCAGGACAGGGTGAACTTCAAATTGAAATGATTTGGGCTCCTTTAAGAACTACTTCTTTCCCTGTTAAAACAACTGTCAAGTTGTGAAGTGTGCATATGCTCTGGGGGAACAGAGAAATTTAGATCCGTTAACCTATTGATTTCCATTTCTTCTGAGTGCTTTCCGTTTGACAGGCAAATTAAAGGGGTAAAGATCATCATAGGGTTCACTGCCTTCTCGGGCTGTATCTTGCAGGCCTGAATGTTGTCCCTGGCTTAGCAGCCTGTGAAGTTTTAGAGGAGTTTGCTGAATTGGCTCCAATAATTACTGCACCAAATTAGAAATTCTGCAGTCACTAGGGAGCATGCTGTCCCCAAAGGATTGCAAGTGTTTTATTCTTCATTATCATGTTGTCATCCAACCCCCTCTACTTAGGGGTTTGTTTGCATTTGTGATAAACTTCTATTTTCAGGAGCTGATAGCTTGGCTGTAAGATTTCTCTGGTGACTGAAACTTGGTATAAAATGTCTCTGCCTCGAGAGCAATTGCGAAGAATAGAAAACATGGATTAAACCTGTTCCCTTTTGCTTAGATAATGCATAGCACCAAGGCAAAGGGATAAGTATTTGTAGGTGCTTGTTATGTGTCTATGGTTAAAAGGAAAAAAATCCCTGTGCTTAAAGTGTGTAGCTTACTTGTTTTGGCTAGGATTTATAAAGTATTCCTCACTGGTCGTTGCCAAAGTTAGGTCTCTGCTCAGTGATATGAACGTGCCACTTGTGAGGTATTGCATTAGAGAATTAGATGAATACTTAAAAATTGTATGAATTTCTTCCCAAGCTGATTTGCTTAGAGTGCAAAGTACTGCATATGCACAGTTGGTCCCTTAGCGCAAGTCAGTTTGTTCTTCTGACTTTGGTGGTACGGGACTGCTGGACCTGTGTTGGGTGGTGCCTGCTTTGGGACTTCAGCAAGTTCTTTCCCTCCCAGCAGTGGGTTCTTGACTTCGTGTGAGGCTGAGCTGCAGGAGCTGATGAAGCAGATCGACATTATGGTGGCTCACAAGAGATCTGAGTGGGAAGGACAGACACAGGCCTTGGAGGCTTGCTTAGATGTTCGAGAGCAGGAGCTTTCCTCTGCCAGGGCTGCTTTGGAAGAAAAATACAAAGAGGTACTGCCTCAAGTTCACTGTTTCCTGGTCAGCACGGTTCCATGTGTTTTGCCTGTTACAATGCAATATAAAGACTGAACCTGAATTTCAGTTTGTTGACTTTGCATAGAAGTGTGTTGCTTATCAGTTGTTGTTTCATCAGAACTGACCGATTTTTGACGTTTAAATGCCAAGCCAGGACACGGGGCTTTTTTATTTTGCAAATGGCTGTGTTAAGCGAAACAGGAACCTGTCTCATGATTGGAGATCAGCACTAGAATTTACAAAAACAAAGGAGCCTGTTAGATCAAGGTACCCAATGCATAATTCAGAGTCAAGTGGTCAACTCCCTAAGGCTTGGTTGAAGTTCACAATGTGAATTGTCAGAGTTTCTACAGAAAATCCAGAGACGCTGAATCTGGATACAACAGTAGTCAACAGCCCAGTTACCTGTAATCACAGGGAGAAAATGTACTGGTGTGAACTGCACCACGGGCTTGCTGGGAGGCCCTCAAAGGATTGTTTTATGTGCCCTGTAGCCCTAAAGAAATGAAAGGCTAGTATATGTGGAGTCACGCCACAGGACTCTTGTTTGGAAGGGCTGTGATTTTATTTTGTAGGTTATCATTGTTCTGATCAGTTGTATTTTCTCTAGACACTCGTGAAATATTTCTTACCATCAGAAACAAACAATGATGTCAAAAAATAAGCTGTCAAGTGTGGTTAAAATCACTGCTGGAGTGTATTCATGCTTTTGGTTTATTCCGAGGAATTTTTGTGATGGTTCCTTTTAAGTGTGTCGTGTGTTACCTATGTATTGGATTACTGTCTTTTGGACCTGCAGTTAGAAAGGTGGCTGTCCTGTGGATAGAAAGAGGACAGAAAGAAGATGACAACGAGTCAGAGGAGCATTTGAATCAATATAAGAGAAGTCCTCTCCATGAGTTTCAAAGCCCCACTTTGTCCCTCTCATCTGCATGCATTATTTAGAACTCTGCTTCAGCTGAGAGTAGTAGTAAGATAGTGACATGGCTCTCTTTTCTGTGAGTGGGTAGGCATTGCAATTTCAGCCTATCTATGAACAATTTGGTGAAAATGCCACATGAAAATAGCCTTTTGGCACAGGACCAAAATAAAAGGCAGGAAGTGAATGGCTCAAAGCAAGAGTCCAGAACAGAAACAGTTCTGGCCCCAGGCTAGCAAAGATTTAGGTGTAGGCTTAACCTGATTCATGGTGAATGACTCCATTGCAACATGCATTTTTAAACAAAATTAGGATCTTTTAACAGTCACTTACCACTGTTGCTGTAACATACGTGTCTGCCTATGGAACAAAAACTAATTCCAGTACCTACTGACAGTGTAGTTTAAGTCTACTGCTGTTTTATTCCTTTGCCTTTTAATGCTTTATTTAGGTTGGCATGTTGCGTCAGCAGTTAGAAGACGTGGAGAAAGCCAAACAGGACATGGTTAGAGAATATGAACAGCAGCTGAAGAAATTTCAAGAAGAGGTGAGCTTCAGAGCAATAAGATTGGGTTTTAGTTCCAGTTGATAAGTGGTCTGGCAGGTGAAGTACTTTGTGTCACTGCTGTTGTTTGAAAGCCGTGGTTTTCAACCTTTCCGTTCTTTTAATCTTTATATTCTTACAAAAGAGAGAGTATTGAGTGTAGACAAAGCAATGTTTTTATGCTTCAGTAGCCCTGTTTCTTTTGCGTTGGAGGACCTTGGTGATGAACAGACAGCTGCTGGAGTGGAAATATGTAGTAAGTGTATTGTTGCAATTTTCATCTGCAGAAATTTACTGCAAAAATTTCCTGTATTCTCCCACCCTATTCACCGTAGCGCTTATGCTGAAGTTGCCATGGGTACAGGAAACAGCAGTTTGTTCCCTCAGCATTTCATGGAGTTAAGAAAGAGTGATGGTGTAACTGGCCTTGATCGTGTGAAGAAAACATGAGATGAGATTGGTATGCACTCATCTGCTTTTTGCCTCCATTTGTTCTTCTTTTTTTTGTTTTTGTGAGGATTTTGTTTTTTGAAGGCATATTAATCTTAACGCGCTCAATAGAAACTAAGTATACTTGACATGCTTTTTAAAAATAATTTCAGAGCTTTCATCTCGCGAAGAATGTCTTACTCGCTGCAAGGTGGTGAACGTCCTGCAGGTGGTATAACAGTGTCCCATGTCTGTGCCTTAACTCTTTGCCTGTCTCTGCTTGCTTGTCAGTAGCAGGGAGTTAAATGGCCTGAATAGCTAGCAGAGCATTGACCTGTTTTCCCTGGAGGGTTTGGCTTAGTTCCTGCTCACTGTAAGACATAACTTAAAGTAATTTTGTAGTTTCAGCTTTGACGACAGAAGGCATCTGTCCTCATTTAAAACACCTTACTCCTCAGTATTATTAACCGTCTTCATTCATTAGATGTTCCCGCTGGAATAATGGGTAGGCTGTAAAGCTGAGATGCACTGGCAGATCTGCCTAAATTTCTACAGCAGAATTATTATTTAATATTTGACTTATTATTATTTATTTTAATTGCAAAGTGTATGTGGAGGCCAAAATTGCAGTGCATTGGTATTTTATCCACAAAGGATTAATGTAGAGGACGTTAAGCTCCAATGTTTCTCAGTCTCCTGTACCATCTGTGGGGAAATTCTTTCTGCTTCAGTTTACCAGCATTACCAATAAATTGCACGTAGAGCGTCCAGCTCACTGAGTTTGTTAAAAGCATAGGTCAGTACCTGTAATCTTCCTGACTTGTTTAAAAGATGTTCGTATATTAATTGTAAGCCTGTACGTCTGTCTGTTCCCACTGAACGTGCTTAAACACTTTGCTGACTTAGGGCTCTGGAGGACCTTTTAAGAACAGAAGTCAGCTTTTGTGACCAATGCATGGGACTGTGAATCATGAGGTCTTGATTCAGATATTTTTTTTCTTTCACGCTTACCCTGCTCATCCCTGGGCTTAGGTTTCTCCGTTGGTAAAATGGGAATGATGATTTTTCAAATTCAGGTGGCTGTTTGGAAACCTAACTTGTTTAATGGTTGAGTTGGGGGGAGCTCCTCAGATGGAAAATTCTGTGTGAGTTGCTAGTGATGGTTTGCACAGAGGGTCATTTAAATGTTAAGAGCTTTTTCCTCATTTGTGGTTCTGTTATGAATTCTGGATTCTAGCAGTAGGTGTAAAAAGTGATGTTTTCTGTTGGCATTCTCCAGTCACTGTGAAATGCAGAGTTTATCTAAGCAGAAAATGACAGATGAAATAGTGTTGATACTATGTAGAATGGCAATTCTTAAATCTTCCTTCTCCTGCTAAGTGGAAGCCTGCCAGTTGCTCTTTGAGCTTCACAAGCGCTCTCTAATCTTAAAGAAACTGTGTTTCTGGGTGGACTCTCCCCCCGCACTTGGTGTGTGGTGTGCCCTTCCGTAAATGCACCGCACGTACTGCCAGCTGCTACCGTGGCCGGGAGTCACCTGTAGAGAGCGCAGTACCACCCTTAGCTACATCGACAGCTGCACTTAAGCCTCCAGCTTTAATACTGGTAAGACAGAGGTTTAACTATAGCTGCTGATGTCATGGCTGAGTGGCATCTTGCGCCTCTTCATACAGCTCGGCGTATTTTGTGTTCATATGGAGTATATAGGTTTGTACAAACAGAAGTCTTCACTTGAAAACCACATGGCCTTGAGTTGAGGGAATTGTTTGCACAGAGCCATTTTGTGTGCCTTCCTTCAAAATGCTCTTTAATTCTTGCCCAGTTGGCGTCAAACAGTGTAGTCTTACTCACTGACTTCCTTGCAGTTGGCCAGGCTGAGGAGAAGCTATGAGAAGCTGCAGAAGAAACAGCTGAAAGAAGCTAGAGAGCAAGGTGCCAAGAGAGAAGAGGAGGACCAGTTTGAAATGAGCCGACTGACCAGGAAGCTGGAAGTATGTAGTTAGAAAGCAAATGGTGATCAGAGTTCATACGTATTGACTGCCTGAGCTTCAGTGATGATTCTGAATGCTCAACCAGGAAGTGGACAGTGAATCCTCATTTAAAAAAAAATAAAAATCTTTGTCTGCTCCAGGTTAGCTCTTCTCAGCTGCTTGTGTAATAAAGGCCGTTTTTGGCATTGGGGCCTGTAAGTGCGCAGGAGAACTCATGCTGCTCTTCTTGATCTCAGTCTAAATAAAAGGAAGGAATAAAAACTAAGAGGAAGAAGGTGCTGGAAGAATAATTAATTATGTGAACAAAATGAATTCCAGTACGACGAGGTTGTCATCTCACTGCTTTCAACTCTGTCTCATCTTTTAATCTTCCTGCCATGCTGAGCTCAACTGCACCCAATTTTCTTCAGCTGTACCCTTTAGTCGTGGCTAACAAACACATCTGACTGATGTAGTGTCCAATGTCTGGATCAAAGAGTAGCATTAAAATTCTGCATTTCGTGCTTGCCCTCTTAGTGATTTCAATAGCAGCCTGTTTTAGAAGCTAAAGCCAGGCTGAATTGTTTAAACTTTTGACAGCAAATTCATGAAACTAGCCATGAATCTGTTAGCACTTAACATTTGTAAACAGCAATAATTGACACCGAGGTTTTGACTCGGGAGGGAGAAAAGTACAGCAAGCACAGTGTGAGAGGGGTTTTGTACTGCTGAGTTGCTACATCAAATGCCTGGCTAATGGTTTCCCCGCTGTGGGGAAAGATGCATGAGGATATAGCGGAGGGAGAAAGCAAACGTGCGTATGAACTGGAAGGGGGCCATCTTGTCAACTGAATGGACGTACTGCTCCCAGCCACCCCTGCTGTCTTTGCAGGAGTTTCGTCAAAAATCACTTGACTGGGAGAAGCAGCGTTTGCTTTACCAGCAGCAGGTGGCATCACTGGAAGCGCAGAGGAAGGCTTTGGCTGAGCAGTCTGAGCTCATTCAGGTACAATTAATACGAGCCGAAAGTTTTTGTTTTGTTTGTGGCAGCAGGTGGGGGGGGGGGGGGGGGGGGACAGGGGGAGAGACTAATGAAATCTCTTGGGCTCAACTCCAGTTTAGGTTGCCATTGAAATGACTTCTAACGTCCTGGTGGAATAAGCTTTACTTGTGTAAGGGGTAGATGGAAAAAAGATCTGGAGTCTATCAACAGGGGTTAGATGAACATCCCCCAGCTCTTCCCCCCGCCCCGCTGCCCCCATTTAACTTGTAGCATTAGTACAGAAGACAGTAGGATGAAGCTTTTTCTAAGAGTCAGAGACCATAGCATGTCCACTTTAAATAAACGTTGCGTCATGTCATCTGGTTCATAACTGCGTACCTGACAGTAGCTAAATATAGCTTCTAGGTCCAGCTCAGAGGATGTTTGAAAATGATTTTCCCCTACAAAACAGATGTCTCCACAAAGTACCAAAGTAACAGTGATTTTTAGCCCCCTCCCTCTTTTTTTTTTTCCCCCCTCCTTAAAGGCAAAGAGCGATGGAGCTGCTGTCTCTGAAAAGCTAATCGTTTGGTGAGTTAGTGGTGCTGCAGCAGCACTAGATGAATTGACCTAGAGCACAGCTGTGAAGTCACACTGACACAATCACAGCAGACGCTGATAAGAAGCTCTTGCTGGGGGCTTTACACTTAATGGGCTCCTGAGTTGTTCTTGAGTGGAAGCTCCTGCGAGGAGGAAGTTTGTGATGACAGGATTGAAGCTGGCTCTGACAGGGGCTTTGTGAGAGGCTGACACTAGTAAATCTACAAATGCAGAGAGAGTCTTTGAACAGAAGGTCTTGCTGCTCCGCTGTCTTTGTGTCATTGATAGCTCAATTGCCTGAGAACAGATGTGTCCTTGGAGTGCTGGCTGGTATACTGGATCACAGGGGGACTCTCTTCTTGCTGTGGAGCAGAAGAACAGAAATTTGGGGAGGTTTTTCCTAAGCAGTGTAGGCGAGTTAGGTGCATAGTTACCATGAACAGGCTGAATCCTCAATTTCTTTGAAAAGCCAGTCACAGAAGAACTAAATTTGTGTCTTGGATGTTTCTGTGCGGTGTGTACGCTTGGTTATTTTTTTGGCATGAGGTTAAGTTGAGCTCTGCGACCCTGGAGTGCCTTCCCGTTCCCCTTCTTTCAGCTGGGTTCCCCTCATGTCTTTCAGCGCAGTTTATGGAAGCGTGGCACTCTCGTCCCGTAACGAGCACCTCCGTGTAACACCTGCAGCCTTTAAAGTCCATAGGTGAAATTTGGTTGTCTGCGCTGCGTGCTCTGTGGCTGCAAATAAAAGATAGCTTAAATGTTTTCTTAATGCAGAAATAAATACTCAGGTAGTCTGGTACTCTGGTTTCTTGGGCTGAAAAAGTCTATGCTCTAAATTCTTGCCCCTCTGGATTACCTTTTTTGTCTTGACTATTCAGATGACGAAAAGGCCGTAACCAAAATTATACCACAGTCTTCCAAACACACGGTTCCTATAGTTTGCTCTGTTATTGCCTGGCATATAATGCCCCATAAATAAGCAAGTGCTGATTCTGAAGCTGACAGGAATTGCTACTCTTAGAAATTGGTAGTAAAGGAGTACTCAAATATTTTGTTTCAGCCTTTAAAAATTATAAGGTACTCCACAAAAAGGGTAGATACAAAATAAATTTTCTTAGGAAATTATATGAGAGCTGGCTTATTAAATTCCATCAGTTAGCAGTGTGGAAAGAAATGCTATGAAATAAAGAATTGTGTCTGTAAATAATAGAGCATGTATTGTTTGCTAGTCACACGTTCCTTATAACTATTACTCTTTTTTTTTTGTCTTCTGTTAAAACGATAAAATATTCAAAACCAGCATTCTAGCAAGCTGTTAGAACCAGATATTTATTGCATAAAGCAGAGCATAATTGACTGTTGCACGCAGTTCAGTTTCTAATTTGTTTGATGCCCTCTCTCCCTCCCACCACCCCGTTGTGCCCTAAGAACTGCTTTCTGGCCTGGTGCGGAATTAACGGCTGGGTTATCTCTAACTTGTATGTGGTACTTGTAAACCTTCTTACCTGCTGTCATCCCTCTAGGTCTAGTCTTGGGTTGATGGGCAAAAAAAAAAAAGAAACCTAGGCAGCTTTGTTCTTGGTTCATACTCGGGCATCTTGAGCTGTTTGAGATCCTCTTTTCCTAAATCCTGTTTGAACCCCTTTTGGAATTGGAGGGACCCCTCAAATTTATTTATTTATTTTAATTCTATCAATTTTTGGAAGTTTTAACCGTCTTGTAACCCTGGGACAGTGCTTCCCCTAGTTCCCTAAGAGGTAGTTTTGCTTATTTTGAGAGTGTGCTTTGCTGCACAAAGAAATCGATGTAAAATTCACGCAGTTTTGATGCGCTGTACTTTCTGTAGTTTAGCTTTAATACAAACCAATTGCTGTTAGCAGACTCAGCTTGCCAATCGGAAGCAGATGCTGGAGTCGGTGGAGCTGGTTAGCCGATCGGAAATCCAGCACTTAACCAGCAAGCTGGAGAGGGCCAATGATGCTATCTGTGCCAATGAGTTGGAGGTGGAGAGACTTAACATGAGAGTGGACGATCTAACCGAAAACAATCGGATGATTCTGGAAGATCAGCAAAGAGTTCAAGAAGAATTAAGGCAAGCCAAGAAAATGTTAGAGGTCAGTGGAGGAATTGTTAGGGAACTGAACATAAAGCAGTACCTGTGAGAAGTAGCAGGAAGGGTTGTCATCCCAGAGCTCCTGTGTCTTTCTAGAGCCTTTGTAAAGTTCCAGATTGGCCTCAAAGCTGGCTTTGTACCTATGTAGTGCTCTGCAGTGTTTCCAGGGGTTTCTTAAAAATCTGATCAACCTTATAATAAACTGATTTGGTCCATCTTGCAGCAGTCATTTCTTTCTCCCTCCTGTGCAGGTATTACAGGATGAGAAGATGGAGCTTAGAGCCACCTTGCAGTCTCAAGAAGATTTCATTGATAGCTCCAAGCTGCATCAGGAACAGTTACAGAAGGAGCTGGCCAGGCTGACTGAAACTCTTCACACAAAAGAACTCCTCATCAGGTAGCATCTGTGCCTTACCGATACATACCCTGTTGAATCCATATTTACGCTCCAGGCTCTCTGACTGAGGACAGTGGCATCATTTTCACAGAGCTGGATCTGTATTGGTTGGTATATAGACTAGTGAGAAACTGTAAAGTGTGCAAGTGCTTTGCTCCCTTGCAGCGCTTGTCAAATTGCCTTGCTTTTGAAATCAGCTGATTCTTAGTAAAGAATATGGAGGGAGTCAGCTTCCTGCTCTACTAGGTATCTGGAGGCAGCACAGACCTTTTGGGTGCGTTTCTCCCTGCCCTAGCGTTTTCAGTTAAGTGCTGGAGGCCTTTCAGGACCTAATTTTCCCTGACATCACTATGCATAGAATCTTCAGTTTATTGATGTCAGATTAGGGCCTTGATGAGGTAATTACACAGGTGACAAAATCGTCTCAGTCTTCCTCTTCTGCACTGGCATCATGCAAACGCTAGAGAGTTGCTTTGACCACCTCAAAAGGTGTAGGCATACCTTATCTAACAGCCACACTGTTTCTTGCAAATAGCTACTGGGTGTCTGGTAACGGCAGTGAAACTGTCTGGTTCAAGGATGCCAACATCAAAATAGACGGTAGTCCTTAATCAGCCTGAATTCAAACAGGGAGCTGTCACTGAGCTGACATGTTTGTGTATTCAGAACGTGCACAGGTGTCACCTGGTATCGGTTTCCATGTATTTCTAGAGACAATGACAAAACAGTTGTGTTCCCCGTATTAGTGAACTCAGGCAAGATATTTCTGTGTTGAGATTAAAGCCCATGTTTCTGCACAGGGCCTTGGAAGAACGCTTACAGGAGAAACAGCTGTCTTCTCCAGGGCTGGAGCATCTACTCCTGCAATTAGATGTTGCCCAGAAGAAGGAACAGCACTTACAGTCAGAGGTGACTCATCTTGAGAACAGGTAGCTGACTGTTTAATTCCCCAGGATGCACATTGAAACTTGCATAGTAATATAATACATTGTATTCATCAAGTTAACGAGACCCACTGATTTCTGTAGAGTTATTTAAAATATCAAAGGGCTAAAGAAATCAAATGGTATTCACTTTGAAGTTTAATAGTGAGACTGTTTTGCTAATTGGCTGCTTTTCATTGTATACTGTGGGTGGTTTTTTTTTTACTCTCACTTGCTTAGGCTTAGCACCTTCATTCTTAATGGATTAGGAGTCTTTGTTAGTCAGCTGGTAAGAACCAGATCTAGACCTTCCTCTTGAAATAAGAATTATAAACAAGTTTTCTTCCCTGAATTTGTGGTTCAGAATAATATTTGCCAGGGAAGTTGGTCATCTTATTATGGTAAAGAAACAAGAAACCACTGTATCTACTAGATCAGATTCATCATCATCTTTTGAAATGATTTGGTACACAGACGCAAAGGATCGGTTAGGAACCTCTAGATTAGAGTACGATTTGATATGACGGACGCTGGAGATTGCTTGGAAGATCAAAGTTTCTTCTGACCATGTTCTCCTTGGGGAATTCTAATCTCTAGTTTTACGTTTGGCATCCAGCCTGGTGTCTTCGAATGCAAGGTGCGTACAGCTGAGTGAAGAGCTGGCCAAGAATATCAAAGAGCTGCAGTCAATGGAAGAACACCATAGCGACTCAAAGGCAGAGATTAAAAAGGTAATGTCTCTGTTCCTGGAGAGTGGGAAAGGCACTTTTGGAGTCGGCCGTTCCCACGTGCCACGTGCCTCAGCAGGGACTGCAGTGCACTCTGTTAGCAAAGCTCCAAATGGGATCAAAGGCCAGGAGTGTTGTGGAGGTAGCGGTATGCTGAAGGATGAGGAGCAGACCTGACAAAGGAGGAGTTGAGGATGGTTTTGCAGGTTGCTGTACATCGGTGTGAAGCTTACTTCAGGAGCCTCTTCTAGGCCTGTCATCATGCAGTACTTCTCTGCAGCGTGGAGATGCTCGAATTACTGCTGGAGAGACTGAATGAGCAAAGAGATTCAGGCCTAGAATCCTGACTTTAGTGCTCATGCAGGCTCCATGCTGCATGAAGAGCAGAGTAAAGGAGATAGGACATACTACAGCAGAACGTATCACACTCAGGGAACGAGTTCAGACATATTTTGGTCCTTCATGTGAGTGAGTTTGTTTCAGGCTGGACGTCTAGATGTGTATATATCCAGGGTGTGAAAGAGATGAAGCAGCTCATCTGCCATGAGAACCTTGCCCTACAGCTCTGTGCACCCAAGGGAGGCAAGCCCTCTGAAAAGCTTTAGTAAGGGTCTAGATCAGGCAGTGTGAGAGCTTTCACTGGAGACCAATTAGGCTAGACATCTTGTGGATTAAAGTGAAAAGTCTCACTTTGAAACTTTCCATGCCGTGTTCTTAATGTACAGAGGTGCAGATTCTGCCAGATGCGTGCTTGCTTACACATGTAAACAAGCACACAATAAATAAATCTAAACGTTAGTTAGAAAGAAAGAGACTTGTTATGATTGTTCTTATTTTATGGACTTGGGAAGCACTGAGGTGACATGCTGATAAATCACCCTATATATGGTATTTACATGGCTAGGCAGAGATCCCCTGGTTCAATTTTTCAGAATGTTTGTGATTCTTGGCAAAATCCTGGGGTTTGGGTAGTTGGTGCTTCTGGCTAACAGAATGGGATATTAGCAACGGAATTATGCTTTCTGTATGTTGTTGTGCCGTTACGACTCTGAATAAATATGTGGTAGGCCTGCCAGAATATTCTGCGCAAGTCTGGTCCTCCGTTTCAAAAAAGATTTAAGACAAGATAAGGTATCAAAAAAGATGACCAAAAGGTTGGGGTGGCTTTTATCCAAGGAATAGCTGGACAGAGCAGGACTCATCAAGCTGGAGAAGAGATAATTGAGACTGAATATATTCAAAGTAAAATCATTTGCGTCATGAAGGTGGATAAGGAATGGTTATTCTCTTTCATGGCGCAGAGACTAGTTGTCCTCACATGAAAACAAAGAGGTATATTTTTATCCTGTGTATAGCTAAGCTGTGGAAATTTGCCATGGGTATCTTTGGATGCAACAGCTTAGTGTTGGTTCAAAAGGTTGGACAAATTCATAGAAGAGATGTCTACTCAGGGCTGTTTAAAGAAATTATCTCTGGCTCAGGAAGGCAGAGGGGCAAACTGTAAGGGTATAGAGTGGAAGTACTACTGTGCTTGCCCAGTGTTTACCTCTTGCCTTCGTTATCCGTTATTGGCAACAAAGACAGAACGGTGAACTAAAGGGACTGATTTGATCCATTATGTGTCTTCTGGAGTTCTCCACAGCATGTAACTTGCATCTTGTCTTTGTTGGCAGTTTATGATGTGGAAAAGGCCTGGGATGAGGTGGTTATCAATCAGGAAGGACAAGCATGCACAGGAGGGTTGTTACATAGAGCTTTTTGTTTTCCAGTACTTAGATTTCACATGACCGTATCCAATGCATTTGCTTACTTGCTGACATGTCTTTTAAAATCTCATGGGTGTTGTATGCGTATCTTCCTCCAGCTGAAAGAGCAGCTCTCTCAAGCTGAACAAACTCACAGTAGTGAGTTAGAAGGGATGAAAAAGGAAGTCTCCAAATTAACACAGGAGTTACACCAGCGGGACATTACAATTGCATCAAAAAGTGGCTCCACGTCAGACCTAGAACGCCGGCTGAGAGCAGAGATTGAAAGAGCAGAGAGGAAAGCAGTGGAGCACAGGGTAAAAAATGCGGAAGACTTATACTATCTCTTTAAAGGGTCTGAGGGCTTGCAATACATCTTGTTTTTTAGCTATATTAATAGCTTCCTTCTGTCTTCAGTCTTCAAACAAACACTTTAGAGACCCTCCTAGTGAAATCTTCCTATTTGTGGTGTTCACTGCATCTGTCTCACCTCTTCTTCTTTTCAAACCTGTAACTGTTTGGCACTCTTGCAGATTTCTTTGACACAGCTCTGGTCGAGTAAGCCTGAATGACGGCATCTTTGAAAACCGAAGTAAATGACTCCGCACAGTTACTTTTATGGTCTTTCCTATAGCCTTGCAGGAGTAAGGGCCCAAAACTTCATTTGTAAATTGTAGTTATGCTTGAATTGTGGGTGGAAGATGGCTGTAGGGGGTGGGTGGGGCATGTGTTCTGTGTTTGTGGGTGGGTTTGTGGGTTTTTTTTTTTTTTTAAAGCTTTTGTTTGCCTCTCTCTCTCTTCAGGTAATTCTGGTTCAGCTGGAAACCCTGAGGCTGGAAAACCGTCATCTCTCAGAGATGCTGGAGAAAATGGAGTTCAGTATGGTGGAGGTATGTGTTAGGGAGCAGAGATGGAGAGCAGCTAGTGTTGTGGGTCCCCTACCTGGGACCTGTTTCACACATGGTGAGGGGGCATTTAGCAGAGCTGTTGGCTGTGCTCAGCCAGCGGGCTGCAGGCTGGAAGCCTCAGGGTGACGTGCTGGGAAGGAGCTCTCTGCTGGACTTGGCTGGCCACAGCACTCTTAAGGCCAGGTCTTAAAGCACCTCGCCTGGAGGGGAGCAGGGAGACCTGCAGGGCAGAGTGGTGGACTGTGCAGGAACAATACCTTGAAGGTCGTTCGTTTTAGTGCTCGCGGGAAGTAAGAAATTACCAGTTTGCAGTGGTCAGATTGCAGATGACCAGCCTGGATGCCTCACAGTGGGTCAAGGGCTGGATTCGGACAGCTGGAAACCCAATGGGAACATATCATTGGAACTTCTAACCCGTCCGCACTGCGGGAAGGGAAATGCTCATATCTTTTTATTTTGGAGTAGTTGTGAAATATGCCAAGTTCTCGGGAAGCTGCTGCATGGAAGTTTGTGGCCAGTGAGCTGGATAAAAAGCAAAGCTTTCTGGAGGGCTCGTCAGAGACCGAAGTGACCTAAAGATCATTACCTTCTGCTTGAAGTGCCAGGTGCTCTTCTACCTGCCTGACTTACCAAAAGCTTGATAGTGAAGTGCAGAGCAAGAAATCTGTTTACAAACAAAACAAACAAACAAAAAAAAACCCTGCCCCTGTGCACACAGCCCCATGGCCCCTGTGAGCCTACCCTGGAAGGATGTGAGAAGAACAATTCCTGCTACAGATACTGGCAGGGTTCTTCAAATGCATATTTGGAAAGTCCTTAAATACAGCTGTGATGAGAATGAATTAAGCATCTGATTTTAACAGAATAGGCAAAAAAAAAAAAAAAAAAGTGGGAAAGTCACAGGAGTAGAAACAATGGAAATGGTATCCACCTGGCCTGGTAAGCATAAGAGATGGGGAGAAAAGCAAGTTGATCTGAGTTTACAAAAAGAATAAAAAAACCTCACATTTTTACCAGTGAAAGTTGTTTGAGGCAGACTTAAGTTGCATAACATTTAAAATAGCTCATCAAATTCTGGAAAGGGTTGGAAAGGGCAATTCAAAGTTACAGATTTATTTTTTGCATGGGCATCATATGGGTGAGATGATGTGCTTTGTCTTCTGAGGGCTTCTTAGGCTCTGAAGCTAGGCAACAGCTCGAATGGGTTTGCTGCAGCAAAGAAGCATGATTGTTTGCTTATGGTCACACTACCCCTTGTAAAGGATACTTGGACTGTTGGACAACAGACTGTAAATAAACATGCTTAGATACCGCTGTGTCACTAGAAGTGGTAACCAACCATTTGCCTCCCTATATAGTCTACCATTTCTGTTTTCTGCACCTTTGTGGTATTAGCAGAACATTAATGCTCCTCTCAGGTTAGCCAATAGAGTTACTTATGTGAGTGCTTCTGAAACCGTTCTCTTCATCAGCCCAGTTAGTTTCGTAATTTAAATAGTACTAGACTTTTACCTGCTATAACTTAGCAGTTCAGGAAGGGGGCCAGGATGAGACATAGAAACAGTAAGTGGGCAGGGGTGCATATTGTTCATTTGGGTAATTTTAGGGAAAATTTGTCTCAAACAGTATTGAGGAACAGTTCTTTACCCGAATGTGCAGAGGAGCCTTTATTTCCTGCGTCAGTTTTGTTTGCTACGGCAGAGTATTTCTGAAGGGTTATGGGTCATCCCAGAGGAGATGAATGCACAGCCTTTGATAATTATTACCCCAGGCCTTTGCTAATTTGAGGGGACCGGGAAGTGTTCTTGCAAGCAGCTTTGTTGCTAGATCAGGTTCAAGTTAGTTTCTCACTGAGGGTGGTTACTTCTCATTGACAGCAAAGCTGCTGGAACATGTGTTTCTCTGCATCCATGGGAGGTATCTGGTGGCACGTGCTACTTTGGTACCCTCCAGTGAACACACGTTATCTGGAGAGTTGTTCAGACTTGGGCACTTTATTTAGGTGCCACCTGAGTATTCCCAGCTTTGGCTGTGAGGCTTCCCCCTAGTGATATGAGAAAAATCTTAAAATGTAAGCCTGGAAAAGAACTCGAGGTTATCTAGTCCATCTCATTATGCCAGAGACAGGTACATCTGAATTACTCTTGGTCTATATTTTTCTGACTGTTCTTCAAAGCATCTAATGAGGAGGGAGACTTCCTAGGCAAATTAGTGCAGCCCGTCTGGATGTAGAGACAGTAAGACATATATGTCTCTTGACAATTTTGCCAGTTGATATTGGGATTGTAGGAAATGCTTTAAGGAATTGCTTATCAACCTCTGCTCTGGATTTCCCTACGCTGTCTTGCAAAACAGAAGTTTTGACTTTAGCCCTTTGCTTCCTGTTAGGGAAAAGATGTCACCCTAAGAGCTCTCAGAGAAGGCTATGCTGTTGAACTAAATAAATTAAAATTGGAGAACCAGCAATTGCAGAAGGAGCTAGCAGAGAGTAGAGCAAAAGGGCAGCTCTCTACTCAGGTCTGCCAGGATGAACCTGAGATCATTGCTCAGCAGATACCAAGTGAAGAGCCTGAGACCAGGGATGTACAGTACAGGTGAGTGTTGCATGATCCAAGAGTGCTGCCTCCTTATTACGAAAGAGAGCAGAAGGCAGGTGGGTGTGGGTTTCTAATGCCCCGTGCTTTGTGTAGAGCATCTCGTCCCAGCACACGGTGTGTATGGGAGAGCACAAAGGGCTGTTTTGGAACCTCCTTTTGTGCCTTAAATAGTGTGCTAGTGTTTAGTCCCAGCAGTTTTGCGTTCTGCAAAGCCAGCTAGCCTTTGACCGCTGCTATGCTAGATAGAGAAGCAGTATGCACTGGTTTTGGTGAAGGGATTGGATTTGGCCTTGGTGGCTGTGCTCCTTTCCCTTGCAGTAATAGGATGTGCGACAGATTGTAATTTTTGATATCTACAGTAGCAGGATGGTGAATGAGAGTTCCCTGGGGACTGGATGTACATTTGGGAGTCCTGTGAAAACAAGAGATAGTTTGGCTTGCCAGGGCTCTTAGTAAACTCTGTTAATTATCTCTGTGTAAGTACTGGCTGAAGTTCAGCTGCCACATGTCAAAGTGTGCTTTCAAACAGTTGTGCTTTCAAACCTACCTTCCAGGACAACTCAGGAAGCACAGCACAAACATGGGGGACAAACAGAGAAAATACATCACAAACCTGACAGGACTATCCAGCATCATCAAGGGGAGCCCCAGAGATGGAAGATTCAGCCTTTGCCTGCTGAAATGGGTGCTGTGACCCCTGAGACGTGTGAACCACCTGCCCAGATCAGCCAGAAGAACTGTGTGGAGTCTCTTGCTTCTGGTGCCCTGCTGGGAGCAGATTCTTTGCTCCTTGTGCTGGATGGGAACAAAGATTTTGCTGATGAAGCATCTAGGCAGTCCATCTCGAGTCTTCAGAGAGAATCTTTGCCTTTGGTAAGCAGTCATATGGAAGCTGAAGGTTGTTTTTCAGTGGCCGATGATACAGCTGGGTTCTCGTCTGGCAAAAAGAACCTGCAGTCTGGCCCCATGGCACGTGTGGTTATAGGTCAAACCTAAAGCGGAGAAAAAACCACTCCTGTATGATTAATCCTTGAATGATGGGAACCATGTGATTATTCTTCAAAACTCTGTGGGGGTAAAGTCTGTCTATTTGGTATAACTGCTAAGCTAATTCTAGAGGTTCAGTATTAGATGGTTCAGGCTGTCCTAGGTTCTCTCTGTACTGGAGCTGTACATCTGTGTCTTCTGTGACCTGCTTCTGTCACTTCAAAATGCTGCTTGGGCTTTTAGGTTGGGTCTGTAGTAGAGGCTCGGATACCAAAATGGTTGTAGAGTGCTGAGTATCTTGACATACAATTTCTGAGGGAATCTCGAGCCTGGTGCTACATGTCTACATTCACTGTTCAATGCATGGGGTGAGTTTGGTTCCTCTGAATGGAACTGCGGTGATGAGCACCCTGCACCAAGAGAGCCACTTGTGCGAGCTGATAGGAAAGCCTGAAATCAGTGGTTCACTCAGCAGAAGTGGAGGTTATTGCCTGAAGAATTGTAACCCAGAGTCTTTCCTAGAAGGAAGTTGAAACCTTTTTTCCTGGTCGTTGCTCATACCTTTTTAATACGGAGAGTTTTGGTGCCTTCTCTGTCCTCTTACTTAGCTGCCGAAGCGCTTGTCCGAGCTGCAGGAAGCTTGGGTTCAATCACTTTTTGCCTGAGAGGTTTAAACCCATATTACCCAGTACCCGTTGGAGTTACCAGGCTGTGGACTCACTTGAGCAGAAAGGGTGAGGGGAGGGGGAATGGAAGACTAAATGTGCTAAATGAGACTGAATGTACGCTAGAGTGTATTATGTACTGAGCCAGGCTGCTGGGCTGTGGTGGTTCAGGAATGGGAGAACACTTCGTATTGGTCCCTGTTCTACACATCTAGATATTAGTAGTCTTTGAAAATGTTCTCCTCTGATTGTGTTATGAACAGTGACACGAGCTATTTTTTATTTTGTGAGGAGCCCAGAGAAGCCTCTAAGGCCGCTACACAGCTAAGCGGAGACTTGTCAGGTTTATAGATCTTGATGAGGTTTACTATCAAAAGTAGATCTTGATCCTTTCAAGGCTATAGTCACTTCTGGGCATGTCCAGAAAACGAATTTTAAGAGCCTGTATGTGTTCTAAATAGAAGCTCTTTAGATTGTGGGGTTGGAACTGAATTGCTAACAGTTCTGCTTCAGGGCCCGAGAAGCTCTAGGACTTGGCCTTTAGTAGAAGGGAATGTGCTACTTTGTCTTCTGTATGGTCCGAGTGGCAGAGATAAGGCTTCTGAGGAAGTGCAGGTTAATATTTCCGCTAGTGTTGACTGGGACTCCCTGCTCATAGTCATGCTCCTGCATCTTTAAATCAGTACCCTTAGCATTAAGAGATGAGAGGCCTCATCAGTGGGCAGTAAGGGGATGGAGGAGAATTGCCTGTTTTCAGCAACCTTTTTTTCTACTTCCCTGTGTTCCTGTGGGTTGGTAGAAATCCAGAAAGCCGTGAAACTCCAGAATTTGGAAACAACCAGTTCCATTCTCTCGCCAGGATGCTGAGGCAAGTTTTCTGTAGTGGAAAGCAGCCGCTTAGTAACTTTGTTATTCGCCTGCCAGCCCTCGTGCAGGAAGCTTCTCTTCATCTGCTCTTAGGTTTAATTACAGTATTGTTGTTGTAAGTTCAGAACTGTGCGAGTAGCAGGAATAGCTTTTATCCGCAAGGGAACTTATCTAGGGTAACTTATCAGCCATTGCTAGCTGAAATGAAGTGGCATTCAGTGGGCGGCGATGGGAGTTCAGCGTGTACTTCACACATGGGAGCGTAGCATGAACCTAGTATCTCAAGGAAGAGGAAGTATATAAAAGAAAGCAGAGAGATCCTCCATGCTAGTCCAGTTTGGTAGTTCTTTCACTTCTTCCTTCCCTGGAACGCATATTCGGAGATAATATTGCGAACTTAGATTTTTATAAACACAAGGAGCAAGGTGTAGACCTTAAGTGAGGCAGGACTAGCACAGCCAGGATAAGGTGACCCGATATGAAAAACATTGGGATTCTGTAGTGATCTGCTCTAGAATGACGCTGTGATTGTATGTCCCTCTCGTTATCCTAAAGGGAGAGACAGGTGTGTGACTTGAAACTCCAGTTCCCCTAAGTAAACAGCCGGTTCCTGTTGCTGTCTCTGGGGTCAGAATTCCACCTGTGAAGTGCAACTATTATGTAGGCACACAGGGAATTTGTTTCTATTCTGTTCTAACTCCCCCAGTGCCCTAGAGAGGGGAACTACTGGAGTGGAAGACTTGGGGGGGGGGTAAGATTTTACCCCCTGTAGTTTTGGCAAAGGCAAAGGGAGGCTTACTTTGTTTGTAGGAGACTATTGAGAGGGACATTTAGCAATGATATAAGCATGAGCCCTGAGTGCCTAGTCTGTCCAAATAGGATAGAAATGACACAGCAGCCCTTTGGAAGCGTATATAGTTGCCTGTTTTGCTGATCATTGATGTGCTTGACTGTGAAACTTGAAATGAAAGAATGCCAGATATCTACTTGTATATTGTCATTTGCTTCATGATTTTTTGGAAACAACCGAGGAATCTTACTCTCTTCTCATTGTTGACTGCTATTCTGCAAAGTAGCTGACTGGTGTGATCCAGAGTCGAACTGTCATGCGCAGCTTCTAGTGATGGTTTTACTAGATATGTTCTAATAAAGTTGCTTTTGACAGTCTTGTCCAGTGCTCGCAGGATTTTCCTTCAAGAAGTCTTAATCGCATATTCTTACCCTTTGAAAATGTAAGTGGTTTCAACTAACTGTTATGGATGTAGTAGATCATGAACCTGAAAGTAGCATAGTGCTGATGATGCTCGCATTGCTCCTCGAGCGTGTTGAAACGAAAAGCTTATGGTCTCTATATAGTTTCAGTTCAATCTGCTGTTTCGTCTCTGATGCTGTAATGGCAGAGCATATTTTGAAGTTTCTCGCTGGAGGTGTTTCTTTGCTCAACAGCTCTGTTAATATCTGTTTCTCTTTAGTGCCCCCTGCCTATGGCTTCAGTTGGATCGATAGCTGCAAGATATCTGGAAGAGGAAGAACTGAGATCCCAGCATATCCTGAAACGCCTAGATACTCACATTGAGGAACTGAAGAAAGAGAGTGAAAAGACAGTGAAACAGTTTGGACACCAGGAGTAATTTTTTTTAAAACGGTCATTGAGTTTGAACGTTGGTTTACTTAAATGATTTCAAAGTGTGAGGGGGCAGGTACTCATGAACCAACTGCCCTTGGAGCTTGACTGAGAGACCTTACCTCCCACTTTGAGCTGAATCGAGAGGATGGATATTGAGGAAAGGAAACTAGTTTGTTTGCTCTGGTGGAGATTATTACGGTGGCAGAACTGCAGCTCCACCTTAAATGCTTTAGTTGGCTCATTGTAGGTCAGAAAGCTGCATCAGAGAGGTGTATTTGTGCACTAACTCACAAAGAAATTGTGATATTTTTAGAAGCAAACCCTTACTAATTTTAATGTAAGTATATAAAGTATATTTTATACATGTAAAAGCATTGAAATAAAGCAAAAGGGAAAAAGACCCCCTTTTTCCTACAAAGACACAGAGTAAATCTCTTGTGGCCTATGCTGCCTTCTCATCAGGAACTTTGACGCTTTTTGCATCCTTTTCCTTCAAGAGTAGCTATGCTCAGAGTAGCTATGCTCTTGAGAAGACAAGGTATGTGATTCCACTTCCTTTAGGCCAGCTGTATTTTCCCCAGTTAATGTTTCTTTTAGTACAATTTCTTAATATTTCCTGGTTCGTCTCGCAACTTCTGCCATTTACTGTTTATACAGTATCCAGCTGCTTCATCTTGCTTGCCCATTACATGAAGTACTGCAAAGTACCTGAGAAATGAATGGCTGAATTCTAATTGTGGTCCAAGCTCTTATAAAAGGGGAGTAATTGGAACTGACAGTGAAATGGAGTGGGTGGGGAGCTGCACACAGGTGAGATTCATCTGTACACCAGCTGTAATTACAGCTGCTGCATAAGCTGGCATCGACCTGATTTGAATCTAGTCAGTGTCTCGGATGCTGTCCCGTGGAGTTGAACTGCTGTCTTAATGTATGTTTGTGACCTGTGTTGGGGTATGTATCCAGCCCTTCCTCAACAAAAGTTGGTAATGAGGGAACTGAACCCATTTCCTACAGACTTGCCTTTCTCCAAGCAGGATTCTGCAGCTGTTCCTATGGCTGTGCCTTTGCAACCTCTGTACAGGCATATCCAGGCATGGAGACGTTCCTTCTCCGAGTGCAAGTTTCATGTTCGCTTCCCTCACCTTCACCTTGTCCTGGAGAGGCTTAGTGCTGACGAGAAGCAGGCATTCAAAAGCAAGATAGGCGTGCAGAAAGCAACCATTAGGTTAGGCAGCCCTGCTCCGTTCGGCAAATTTGGTGATGCCTGTCTGCAAACTGCAGCCTCTGTATCACGCCACAAAAGAGGACTGCACAGTAGTTCTGTGTTCTGGAGTAAAATGTAAATGTAAAATGTGAGACGCTCCTGAATCCTGGCCTCTGCATCAACGAATCCTTTTATTCTGGATTTCTTCTGGGGTTCTCTGAACAAGGATAAGACCTTCAAATGCATTCTAGATTTTCAATGTGTTGAGGCATTTAGCTGCTCACACCTGGGAATAAACTATGGTCATGCATTTTTCAAATAATCAGCATTGGCCTCAGCTTCTGTTGGGAGCTGCCTACCGGTAAGCATTTTTGGAACATCCACCTTAAATATCCAGCACTCAAGTAAGGACTTGTTGGTCGTGAGATGCTTTGACAAAACCTGAAAATCAAGATAGAACAAACGGTTGTTTTCCCTTCCCGTGTGAATCCACAGCTCCACTGAGTGTGCGGTAGTCCAGAGCTCTTACGGGTTCCTTGTGTTCCTCACCTGTGGCAGCAATACCATTTTTCTAATGATACCTTTTGAACATGTGATGTGAACTATTTTATATTTCTTGAAGACTTGTTAAGTTACTGAGAGTTGCATCATGCACTAAGTACTTTCAGAAATTTAAAGGACGCTTTGGCTCATTAGTAAAGCTGGCTTCCCAATTCCCTTCTTTGAGGGATATTTGACAGTCTTGTCAGAAGTGAGGAGCAAAGCTGAAAATGATCCATTTGTTCAATTAGCAGCTGTAATCCTACAGTATTTATTGATCTCTAATGCATGTAATAAGCAGCTCCATTCAGGGAGTAAACTAAGGATTTGATCTAAAGTGACTAAAGAGTAAAATTTGCAGCAGGGGAGCTGTTTGTCCAAATTGTAGTTATGATCTCTTTTCCCCTTATCCTGGTGGAAATAGACTATCTTTTTTGTGCTGTTGCAACCTGTTCCATTTTCTTAAAGGTCATGAAAAATATTTGGGTGAGGGTCCAGGAAAATACATGCATTTTAAATGATGAGATTCTAAGAAGTTTTTCTTTCTGAAAAAAATGCATACTTCCTTGTGGGATGACTTCTTTAGGTATTTTTTGTTTGGTTGGTTTTCTTTTGCTTGTGTGTGTGGTTTGGGGTTTTTGTTTTTTTTAGATCCCCAACCCCCCCACTATTCTCAGTGAAGAACTCTGTGCTTCCTGGTGTCTTTCTCTTTGTATTTCCTTCAGTGACAAATAGTTCAGAAGGGGGAGAATTCCCCTTGCTTCCTGGGGAAGAGCAAGCCGTTGTGAAGACAGGCATCGCTGGCTGTCATGAGGGAGGTCTTTTGCTGTAGATAATCACTGGCTTGGCTTAAGCAGGTGAGTGTGTTATACAGCCTTCTTTCAGGCGTGATAGAAGAGGCAATTATGTTCATATAGTACGTTAGAGGCATAGGCTATTGCCTTGGGCAATAAACTATATAGAGAAGTCTGACCAGAAGGTAAGCTACGGGACTGAGTGAGTACTTAAAACAAGGTTACAGGATAGTTTGTGGTAAGCCCTGTATGGAGGAGGCAGAAAGCCTTTGGCTCTGAGGTGGAAATGGTGGGATAGAGTTCCTGGGGAGGTGTCTTGAAAGCTAATTTTTTTAAGCTGGCCTAACAATGCTTACTTATATATTCCCAGGAAGAGAATTGGAAGGTTATGGGATTCTTGACAAGTGGAAATGTGCCAGAGACCATATCTGCCTCACAAGTGGCCTGCACTCTGATGGAAGCAATTTGAGAAGGTCTTTTAAGAACTGGCTGGTTACATGGGCTGTTGGGACAGCGCTGGAGACTGTCTGGAAAGCGTCTTGAAAGGGCCAGAGAATATTTCAAAAAAAAAAAAAAAACCCCACCCTCATTAGTAGGTCACCAAGCATGGCCAAAATGTCTTGGAAGCACACGCAGCAGTGTACGTGCTCCTTCTTTCTTGCCTTCTCTGTTTGCAGATGCGCAGTGCCGTGGACTCTTGTGTTTCTGGAGTTCCTGTGCATGGACAACAGGGGAGGAGGACAGAGGTTTAGCAGCTAGTACAATGTGTTAACCGGTTACCTGGTCTTATTGCAGTGCTCTTTTTTTGAGCATATGCCTTTCTTATAGCCGGCATGGAAATGCTGTCGGTATCCCATCAGATACACTTGTCTCTGTGTATCCCCTGGTGAGGCAGTTAACATTGGGGTAGATGGTGGTACTGAGAGACGCTTGCCAGATGTACAGACTTGCTCTGCACGAGTTCAGTTTACCTTTATTGAGAAAGGGGGCATTTTCAAAACAGAGTGCTCTGAATTTGTAGTGCTGAATAGCTGCTCCTGTCGGTGGTGTAGGGATTACAAAAGCTGTCGAGTCCCAGTATGTGCCAAAGGAGAACTCTGACTGAAACGGGAGGGCTGATAGTCTGGAGATAACTGAGGAGTCGGTTGCAGAGATGCTCTCCTGGTGTTAGTGTCTCAGCTACGCTGAAGAATGTGCATTTTTTATGAGGGGGAGGAGAAAGACTTGTTTATCCCGGAGGGAAACGTCGCAGCACGAACAGACTTCTGAGGTGCTTTTATCTAGGGCTGCAGGGTTTCTCAGGCATTCTCCTCTGCCTTTGCAGTGTCAAGCATCCTTCGGAATAACCGCCTGGCCCTGGCAGCTTTATAATTAATGAAGCTGGAGAGGGTTTTTTGTGTCTTTGAACTCATCCTTTAAATAACACCAAAGGATTTCTTACACACTTGCAGGGCAGAGCCAGATGTTTGCTTTCTGTTTGAAACAAAATCTGGAAATCTGTTTGCAGTGCTTGTATGCACCAGCTGGGCATCTTAGAAGTGGAAAGCTATTGTAGGCTTTGCCTGCCTTTAGTGACAGGCAGATGCTCTCCTGTGGGTGTGATGTGACAGTGCGTTGGGTCCCTCTTGACTTTGAGGGGTTAAAGGAGTATGTGTGCTTGCATGTATGTGCATCGTTGCAAGTATCTGAGCTTTGTAGCGTTGTGTATGGGGAACAGGGAATACTCCTTGAGATTTTGCTAGGTGGAGAGCAGTAGGGTATGAACTGTCCTCCCTACTTCTGTGGGATAACTTTTTTTTTTTTTTTTTGTCTTGCTATCTTAAGACAGAAATAGCGCTCGCAGGGATAGAGAGAGATCTTTTGAAAAGAAGTTTTTACAGTAGAGGAGCGTGGACTGTATTTATACCTGTATGTGTACCAGGGTGGAGAGGCTTTATCATGGTTGCCCGCTGGAAGGGAGCCCAGGCATCTGTGCATATGGGATGGTGAAGGTCTTGGGAGGGCTGAGGCTGTGTGCTAGCCCCTCTTAGCTAGCTATCCTAGTTGGCTGTCACTGTAGTCGCAGCTCTGAAGACGCAAGACAAACTTGGCTGAAGAAGCATCGAACATTGGAGGCAAAGACAGTTTCAGTCTAAAGGAGAACTGGAGAGATGGCAGTTCATGTAGTTGCCTCTGTTTGTATACAGGTAAGTGAACATGATGTATTTGATTGGGTGATTGGTATCTTTAACCCTGTAACGTGGAAGTGCTTTCCTTTCCTTTATTCTCAAACCCTCTGTCTGGGGTGCCTCTTTATCCCTCCCCGTTGTAAGAAGTGAAGTATGTGGCTGGATCGGCTCGGCCTGTAAACAGAAAACTGTACTGAATCTACATCCTCCTTGATCTGAAAGTGGAATCTAAAGAAAAAATAGTTCTTCTACTATAAACCAAAATAAATGAGGACTATCTGTGCTTACAGAGAAGGCTTGCTTTCACCTTCAAGGTCCTAGGCAATCAAAACATCCCTGAGTTTTTTTCTGGTATCTGCATCAGTGCTGTTCAGTATGTGTTGCTGTCCAGGGAATGGATGCCTGCTGGGCAGCAAGGCTTGTTAGTGTTCCTGCAGGGAGCTGTTGCCAATTTTTGAGGGCAACGATACTTAGCTGTTTGGGGAGGACTTAAAATCTACTTTTATGTCATGTGTGGAGCCCCCTTGTCTCAAAGTACGAAGGGAAAAAAAACCCAAACCCATCGCTGTTCTCCTGGCCTCCTGGAGTAAGCTTTGTTAAGCAATACTATTCATACTAACAACCTGTGTCTCCAGCAGCCAGCATCCCTTTTGAGAGCTCTGCTACTTGAATATGGCTCCAGGTCCCCTGCACACTTACAAAGTTCCTTAAAATCAGAACTCTATGCTGGGTGCTGGGGAAGAGGAAACAACCTAGGAGGGACCAGAGGTGGTGAACTTGCCGGAGGTGAGGGGCAGCCCTTCGTTATCATGTATATAACTTTGACTACCCAATCATGCAGGGAGGGGAAGTATAGAAATCACTATCATATTCTGTATGGAAAACACAGCAACTTTGTGAAGAGGAGTTCATAGCACTTGATCAATGAAATAGAATGCAAAAGCATAATAGATTTATTTTAAATTCAAGTTCAAACATAATATCCCTGGGGTCACGCTAACACTTACGGACGTCTTAATCTCTTACGAAAATGTTGCTTGATCTTAGGACTTGTAATTCAGGTGAGGTTCACTAGAAGATCACCTCTGCCTTATGCATGTATGTTTTTCCAAGGCTAGGGCACCAAATAAAACTTTCTCTGTGATAATGATGTCAGTCAGCCTGCTATTCCACATAACCCCTTATATTCATTAGTTCCCATCTTGCACAGACAAATTGGCATAAGTTATGAGTGATTTTTGAGAACTTTATTCTCCGTTTTGCTGTGGTTTTAGTTACGGAAACACCTCTATGCTTGAGATATGATTATACCATTAATATTGCAGGAAAAGTGTTTGCAATTCAAATACACTAATATAAAAAGGTAAAAATTTTGTTTATTGGATTTAAGGTTCAGTGTAAAAAGTCATTTTGCAGTGTCACTTAAATTTGTAAGACAATGAAGTGCCCAAGAAAACTTCTCATTGTGTATCTTCTTCCTAATGCGTCTCTCTTCTGGGATGTATTCTGCAGCTAGACTAAAGATAAACAGAAACCCAATTTAAATATCCTTAAATTCCTCATGTCTTACATCGCTGCTCAAGAATATAGGGTGCTTTCTTCATTCTGCTATGTAGCTAGCTGGATTCCTCTTGAAGTAGCCATAATAAGACTTTTCTTATGGTCCATAATTTGGAAACCAGCGATCACTGCTGATAACTAATGACCTACAGGCAGGCATTCGGTTGTTTTCCTCAAAGCATTTGTTCAGACAGTATTACGAAAAATGGGTGGGGTTTTATTTAATTTTTTCCACTGCTGCTCCTTCCGTAACAGTTTGGATTTTTCTGTTTGTTTGAACTTCTTTGAGCCCGTGGTCTCGCAAAGACCATGTAAGTATTGTTCTGCATTTGTTGAATGAACAAATTAGACGGAAACAACTAGCAATCTCATAAAGCCGGTTTTAGGCATGTTGAAAATTCACGCAGGTGAGTCACAGAACAAGGGAGTGTTACTGGGTCTCCACTTCGTATTTCAGAACATGCGAGTAAAAACTGTGGTTAGCGTTCTCGTGCACCATAACAAACACCTCTGTGCATCCAGAAGTGTTACAGGTTCCCTCCCAGTAGCCATCTCTGCTCCGGGTCAGAGGATAAGTGTTGTCGGCTTGAACGAGCACCTTTGCTATCCCATGCAGTTTGAGTTTAAACTGAACGTTGCGATTCGCTGGCAGCAAGCCGGAGAGCGGCTCCAGTATTTCATAGTCTTCCGCCCACTTGCTGTAACTTTGAGGAAAAGCTGGCCACTTCACGTCAGTGTTCAGGCAAGAGATGAGGTAGTTGAAGATGTAGTCGTAATTGCCAGGATCTGACTTCTTCTTGGCATAGATTTTCAGAACAAAGTTCCCTGCGTGGGGGAGATGGATCTTAAACTCAATTTGGTTCCCACGATGGATTTGCATGATGTGCCGCCTTCTCATGTCCTCTGTCAGGCTGCTGTTATCAGAGTGCAGTGAGGCTAAGACGCTTATGTCTTTGCCCAGGGTGAAGGTGACGGAACATCGCCCGTCGTTGGTGTGAATGATGGGGTCAGGGTGTGACGGCCTCAGGAATCCTTGCCGCTCTGAGAACCAGCTTGGTCCAACAGGCTGATGCAGGTCCTTTGGGAAACGTGTGCTCTTGTCCACAGACTTGCACTCTAGGACATATTCTAACACACAGTTGTAGACATCATCTGAGGCTTTGGGGGGCTTGGCAAAGATCTGCAGCTTGTGACTGCCTGTTTTCTGGGGATAGACTTCCAGCGTCATTCCATGTTTTCTCAAAGTCATTAAACCATGCTCCTGTATTCCCTTCAGCTTAAATGTAAATAACATAGAAGAACGGCAATCCACCGATATAGCTGCTTTTCCGTTTACTGTGAAATACAAGAGAAAAAGAAAACGCATAAGAGTGTCCCTCAGTGCACTTTTGTGTATATGCCCTGTCCTGGCAGACCAGTGTGTCCCAACGAGTTGTCACCTCCCTCACAGTAAACTGGTCACAGCTTGTCAACTGTCATCTTAAATGAGCATCCTTCAAAAAGAGCAAGGTGAAGAGCGGCTTTTGTTTTGGAGATGTGTTTATCTTATTTTGAAATAGAATGAAACACAACTGTGGTCCTATAGAATATGAAAGGCTATGTGAAGTGTAGCTGAAAGTACCGTCAGCCCACGTGCTCAGGACCTGACTAGACTTGATTTTGAGTCCAGTACTTGCTCCAAGAAGCTCCAGAGAGGTGCAAGAACCCTGCAGTACGCAGATGTGAAATAATCTTCCTACGAGACCACTCCCAAACAACTTCAAGACAACATGAAGTCCTAAAATCTTGTTGCCTTTCAGTTTTAATTCTAGATGTTCTTAGCTTTCATAAAAACAATTAGCTACTGCCTCTGCAAAAATCTGAGAAAGGTGACTTTAAGTGTGTGCCCTATAGCTTGATGGTGTTACCTGAACAGGTTTGATAAGAGCTGCTGGACTTCAGGAGCTGAGTAGTTGTATAAAGAAGTGCCTGTTTATGCATCGGTAAGTCAAGCTTTTGGAACGCAGTAAAACTTCTTGTTTCATTTTGGCACTGGAGTTGCTAATACCAAGGCTATCTCAAATAGCGAAATACAACAGCCACACGTCTGATTTCACACTGCTGATACTGATAGGGTAGCCCATCCTTAGCTGCTTGTTGAGGCTTTCTTTGGCTATAACAGGGTTTTTTTTTTTCCAACTTGAAACAA